TATCAGTTGGGTAGGTCTAGGGCCGAAATAAACTTGTCCCGGGCAAAATAGGACACGATTCGCGTCACCGGCGCCCAGCCCGACGCCAGGCGCCCTCCATAGCGCCCCAATTTTTGAGCCTACTGTTTTCAGCGCCACAGGTGGCGCCAGGCGCTGCCTGTGGCACCCAACTGCTTCCTTTCCCGATTTTGTTCGTTTTAGCTTCAAATCTTTCATGGTTTGCCCCAAATTGCTCCCGAATCATTCCTACAAGTAAAAACACTTCAAATCAATATAATTCATAGCATTTAACATCCCAAATTCACGAAACAAGAGTAAGATATGAGGCAATATACATAAAAATATATATACTTTAAGCTAAACATCAAGAATCAGGTCGCGTGTAGTTCAAGAAGAATGATGGAGTGATGAGTTCGAGAGTCGAGTGAAGTTCTGTCGAGGCTCCGGTTCGTGGTCCTATTATTACATCAAAATCAAAATGAAAAATACTAACTAAGCCTATCAGCTACGAGTTACAAGATTCCTATTTATGAGTCTTCTGAAGCTCGATCTTGAGTCTTGGCTGGTTCTTCATGCAGACTCTGATCTAAATCTTGATGCTTGTTAGGTGCAGGTGCTGGTTCATTCTTCTTCAGTTTTTTCGGATCAAGATGGGACATGCAAAGCTTGTGACTTCAATCATGTCTTGAGCAACCCACATCTTTCTCTGCTTTTGCACTTTGAGTTCACTTCTTTTTCTTTTCTTCTTTTTCTTTTATTCAGGATTGGGGCTTATTCTTTTTGTCATATCGAATCCTTTATTTCGAGGTATAACCTGATCAGACACCAAAACCAACAAATGAACAGAATTTTTCTACCCCACTTTTCACTAGGAAAATTTCGTGAGTTATTTGTAAACAAAACTCTACTACTTCATTATTGAAAGCAATAAAAGTCAGGATTGTGTATCCTTAGGAAAAAGAGATTAGAAAATGGAGACCCTATATCTAAAATGAAATCAACTAGGGATTAGAGATCCTAGGTTGGAAAAACCACCAAGTTATGCTGGCATCAACTAGGGAGTGGGACCTTAAGTCGGAAAATCATGAGGTTATGCTGCCATTAACTAGGGAGTGAGACCCTATGCTGGAAAATCATCAGGTTATGCTGGCATCAACTGGGGAGTGGTACCCTAAGTTGGAAAATCATCAGGTTATGCTGGCATCAACTAGGGAATGGAGACCCTATGTCGGAAAATCATCAAGTTATGCTGGCATCAACTTGGGAGTGGAGACCTTATGTTGGCATTAACTAGGGAGTGGTGACCCTATGTTGGCATCAGGTTATGCTGGTATCAACTAGGGAGTCAAGACCCTGTGTTGGAAAGTCATCAACTAGGGTGTAGTGACCCTATGTTGGCATCAGGTTATGCTGGCATCAACTAGGGAGTGGAGACCCTATGTTGGCATCAGGTTATGCTGGCATCAACTAGGGAGTGGAGACCCTATGTTGGCATCAGGTTATGCTGGCATCAACTAGGGAGTGGAGACCCTATGTTGGCATCAGGTTATGCTGGCATCAACTAGGGAGTGGAGACCCTATGTTGGCATCAGGTTATGCTGGCATCAACTAGGGAGTGGAGACCCTATGTTGGCATCAGGTTATGCTGGCATTAGGCTATGCTGGCATCAACTAGGGAGTGAGACTCTATATTGGAAAGTCATCAGGTTATGTTGGCATCAACTAGGGATTGGGACCCTATGTTAGAAAGTCATTAGGTTATGCTGGCATCAAGTTATGCTGGCATCAACTAGGGAGTGGAGACCCCTAGTTGGTGTTGGCATCAACTAGGGAGTGGAGACCCTATGTTGGCATCAACTAGGGAGTGGTGACCCTACGTTGGCATCAAGTTATGCTGGCATCAACTAGGGAGTGGAGACCCTATGTTGGCATCAACTAGGGAATGGTGACTCTACGTTGGCATCAAGTTATGCTGGCATTAACTAGGGAGTGGAGACCCTATGTTGGAAAAAACGCAGCTAGGGATTGAAGACCTAAACTATCATGATTTTGAACTTTTCCTCTTTTCATTTCATTTCATTTTTTCGTCATTTTTTTATTTATTTAATGAGTGAAAATGCAGGAAAGAATTCGGAGGAGACTTCCCTTTTGGATTGATTAATGCTGCAAAGCTATTTTAGCCTCTGCGCGATTTCCTTTTGTTGCACCTGCTTCTTGCAAGGTTGCTTTTGGATTGCACCCGTTTCCTGTTTTCAAACAAACAATAATTGTTAGTTTGAAACGATGGTTGGTTTTGTAGCCTTGATTGTTTCCGTCACTTGATCTCGGCCCGGCTTCTTGGATGAAGATCAACTGCAACTACTTATTCCCTAAGGACCGATTTCATTTCTGAACCTGGAGAATCTCTGGCTTTTCCAGACTTTGCCATGATGGTAGTTACGTGGCACTCAACCTTTTTTACTTTATTTTGCCTTTGTAGGCCTTTAACTTCTGACTTATTTTTTTTTAATTT